AATAGAATCCTGCAGATTCCCTCACAAAGGGTCTGAGTAGGGTCAAACACATTCAGCATGCTAGGAGCATTGGTCTGAGAGATGGCATTAGTTTTAGTAGTTAGATAGTAACTTGAAACTTGTAACAAAGTAAATGTAATTGACTTTTTGTGATTAAATAATAGAGAATTATTTATGAGTTTGTTTACTACCTTTTGTCAATTGTTTATTATTGTGTTTCATTTTTGCATGTTTTACTTCTCGAATAATTCGACTATTCAAACTACACAGTCGATCATACTTTTGGAAGTAAGTAGTGAATTAAGACTATCATGAACTAGATTGTAGATTGTCTAAAGAATTTTATACATAGAAATGGTATTACTGCAATGTTCATGAGTATTTTGACATGGAGATTTAAGTATTGGATTAACCCACGCTCAGAGAATTACTTCATGGAATTTATCATGAGTAATTCTGAGACGATAATATCTTATAATCTTGAGACGGAGATATATGAGTTGTGGTTTACGAATCAGTTGTGCGTTGATGATACGAAAATGCATTAGTAACCTGATGTTATAAAATGTATTGGTGTGCATGATTTGATAAGTAAATGGTGCAAGCATATACGTCAAAGTTTATTTTTCCCTTTTACCTTAATAGAAAAAGTGATATCTTTGGGCCCCTCGGTGATTTGGTGTTGACTTATTGTGCTGGGACCGGCCATGACTAAATTGATCTGTTCGATTAGAAGTTCTATGTCATTACAAATTAGAAATTGAGAAACAAAGTATTGGACAATGAGATTGATTCTATTCTATGTCTCATGTCCGGATGATATCTTGCAAAACGGAGGATTATATGATCATTTATCTTAGGACACATAACTAACTAGGTCAGAGTTCGAAAGTAGCTTTTGGAAGCTACAATTTGTTGATCAGTTTAGAAGTTATACTGGGAATTATAGTTATAGACTTATCCAAGTGGGGGACTGTTGGATTAGGTGTCTAAGCCCATAATTATAATTGGTATAAGCTTGAATTGATAGTAGCACAGTCCTTTTGGGTTGCCCTCAAACCTAGCAATTGGACATGATATTTTGAAGAGAGAGGTTGATTTATTATTTGATTAATAAATTGAAAAGAATAATTTGTTAATATATTATGAAAATAATATATTAATTAGAAATAGTAATATTTAATTAATATTTAATCAGAAATTAATTGGAATTAATTTTGTGATTAAAAGAATTAATTAAAAGTGTAGGGACTAAAGTGTAATTGTTCAATAATTGACCAAGAGGCATACTTGAATCTACCTAGGGCCTTGGACGGTTTTAGGAGGGTTTTAGGAGTTCTAGAATTATCCTTGGAGGATAATCAGGAAGCTGGATAATTACCAAATCAAGATAATATTATTATATTGAGTTTTGGCTTATATAGGGTTTCCAAGTTGTACTATATAAGGAGGCCAACCCCTAGCAATTTTAGCACTCATAATTCCCCAAGGTTTGGCAGGAATTCAGATCTCCTCCCTCCTCTCTCCTTATTATCCTTCTCACTTGTGTTGGGTGAGAATTACTAGAGGCACAAAGCTTGTGGTGCTTGCTTCCAAAAGATCAACAAAAGGATTCTTGGTTGTTTCCTTCAACAATCAATAAGGTATGTATTCTTACTAATCAATTGAAGTTTGAATAGGAAAATTTTGTAGATTGATAGTTCATAGTATGTTGCATTTATGTTAAAGACATAGATCCTTCTTAGGTTGCATGTGCTCTAATCATTTAATTGATGATATAGTCATTACTCGTTTAATAGACCTTGAAAATTTAAAACATTTTCTTGGTTTAGAATTTGTCAGAAGTGCAGATGGTATTGTCATTTCACAACGACAATACGCTCTTGACTTATTACAAGATACATGAATGTTAGCAGCTAAACCCATCTCATATCCAATGGATTCTAAACATAAAATTTCAAACTTTGAAGGGGAAGAATTTGAGGATGCATCTCAGTATGGTCGGCTTGTTGGTAGATTATTATATATTACTTTAGCAAGACCTAAAATTGCATATGTTGTTCATCGATTAAGTCAAGGGATGTCTAATCCCTTAAAGCCCCATTATCATGTTGCACAACATTTGTTATGATTTTTTTGAAAACAAATTCGAGAGAAGGATTATTTTTGTCATTTAAATCTTCTTTACAATTACATGCCTTTAGTGATTCTGAATGGGCTGGATGTTTGGATACAAGAAGATTCGTAATAGGTTTTTGTATCTTCCTCAGAGATTCATTAATATCGTGGAAATCGAATAAGCAATGTACAGTCTCTCACAACTCAACTGAAGCAGAATACAGAGCACTGGGTTCTGTAACTTCTGAGATTATTTGGCTACGACATTTACTCAAAGATTTTGGTTTTACTTCCTCCACTCCTATCTTAGTCTTTTGTGATAAGAGTCATCCATCAAATTGGCAACAAATCCAATTTTCCATGAACGAGCGAAACACTTGGAAGTTGATTGCCATTTTGTATGTGATAAAATTTTGGACAAAACAATCAAGTTAATGCCAATCCATACTTCCCACCAACTAGTTGATATTTTCACTAAAACCTCTACCATTCTCCAAACTTCAACCTATCATCTCCAAGATGGCACTTAAAAACATTTTTAAGTGTCCATTTTTGAAAGGGGATATTGGGACATTTATTATTTATTAATGTTACGTCGTTTTATAGTAGTTAGGGTAAATTACATGAATCGTCCATTGTGCATGTGCCAAAACGCACATTTAGTCCCTATTTTTAAAAATTAACTCGGACAGTCCCTCCTTGGTTTAAAACTAACACGGTTCATCCCTTTGGACATAAAAATACCATTTTTCCATTATTTATTTATTTATTGACTTATTTATTAATTATTAACTATTTATCTACTAAATAAAATTGTTTAATTAAAGACCAACACCACCACCATGATTGGGTTCGTTTTTTTGGGTTTGCCGAAAAACATAACAACTACCTCAAATGTACATCTAGGGTGTGTTCGGCAAAACTAGCTGGTAGCGGGTAGCTTGTAGCTTGTAGCATTTTGTTAAACGCTATATGAAGTAGCATTTGGATTTGGAGCGTTTTGTTTAAAATAAACCCTACAAGCTTGTAGTGTCGAACGAGGCTTTCTGTTCAAAACGGAGCGTTTTGTCAAACGCTAGCAGCTAGAAGCTCTCAAACGCTCGCAAACGCTCTGTGCCGAACACGCCCCTAGAAGAGTCACTACCTCCCCCGCCCCCTGTTGCCCTGCTATACAACTCCCATGTTTTGCTCGGTAGTTTAAGCTTCTTCACCATCATCGCCGATGGAGGTTTAAGCTTTCATTTCTACGAATGAAATGGGGTTATCTCACCTCATCTATTTCTGACGCCTCTTTCCTCGAAACCCTTGTCTCCACAAAACTGTTTTCATCAGTAAACTGATTGTGAAACCCTTCTCTTCCGGCACACCCACTTCAGACTAACCAAAACCAAAACCAACTTATATCTCTGCGCACATGAGCTTTGTATTCGATCAAATAGATGTCATTGAGAAAGAACCTTCCGAAACAGACGAAACCCTACAATGAATTTGTGCTTGGCGTGAATCCAAGAAAGAAAAGCAACCCATCATCGAGCATGAAGAGACTGTGAAACACGTTGGTGGTGTTACCGTTTCTAGGGTTAAGGATAAAGCATTGATGACCAGAGGAGTGGAATTTGTACATCCATGGCCAGAGTGGTCTTTTCGGATGACCAGAAGAGTCAGTACAGATCTACAATGACGATGGTAGCCTTAGGGTTTTGGCTCAGATCTATGATGGCGATGATGGCTCTGCGAGGTTAACCTTCTAAGGTGAGGCGATGGCTTCAGGCGTCGATGGAAGTGAAGGAGTTGGCTGGACAAAGTGATAGATGTAGAGTGAAGGTCCGCCGGAGGATGAAGGCGGTGATGGTGGTCGTCGTGACTTGCCGGTGACTCGTCGGCGAGTTGGGTCTCATTTTTTCCTCTCATCGAGTGTGTTTTTATATGTGTTTCCGATCAGTAAAAAAAGCAAAGGGTGGGGAAAGTGAAGGGGAAGGGATGGTATAATGGTCCCTAACTTTTTTTAAATTGCAAATAATAATAATAATAATAATATCAATTTAATTGAAAAATAAAAAGATAAGGGTATTATGGTCATTTCGGTTTTGGCGTGGACTAAATTCACAACAAAATTGTCTTCCAGGGATGAAGCATGAAATATTAAATCAAACGAGGGACGGTCCGAGTTAATTTTTCAAAATAAAGACTAAACGTGTTTTTTGGCACCAGCACGAGTGAGAAAATATGGTAGTTAGGTTGGTGGTGCAAGTTAGCTTAGTTGTGTTTGTTATGCGTATGTTAGCATGGTATGTATAGGTAGTATAAATACTCTTTGTAACAGATTAGTCTTGGTAATGAGAAAATATGTTCCCATTCTTGATTAGTTGTTCTTAGTTCAATAGGTATTGATGTTCCTTCGGTTTTATGACGTCCTTTGATTTGCATTCGAAAGGCATAAGAAATGTGTTCTTGTTTTATGAGGTGGTTGTTCGGATTTGGTTGTGGGTTGCAAATTTGGTTGTCCTTTCTCTTCCTCTCAAGGTGATCCTTCTGACTACAATTTGGCTGCTTTGGATATATAAAAAGCAATGTGGTTATTCAATCGTCTACCATCTCGAGAAGTAGTATATGTTTGAAAAGATAGTAATTACCTCTTTTGATTGGTTCATGAATAAAATCAATAGAGTTAGCATTACTTGGACTTATGGTTACAAAACTTAATCCATAATATCTCATTGTAATTGTTTTGCTTTCTATCTCCTTGCTTGTCTTCTTTAATAAAATTCAGCGGTTCAAAAAAAATATGCTGATAAGAGATTTTTATATACCAAGATAAAATAAATCAAGATCATTGAAAATGCAACGAACCACCAACAATAAAAAAAAAAAAAGATTAAAATATCTGTTTCTCTATAAAGTTTAGTAAAATTCGTCGTATGTTACAACCCCAACACTTGACCATTAAAAATATTACGAATTAGTGAGCCACCATTAGATTTTAAAGAGCCATATGCCATTACAAGCAAATAATAATATCCTATTCCCCGTGCTCCCAAAAAAAAAACCTTTTTCTATGATGTGCTCAAAAAGCATAATCTACCATTATCAGATGACCAGAGCATTCCGGTCATCTGATATCAGATGATTGGAACACAGTTGTGTTCCAGTCATCTAACCAGATAGAACAAACAATTCAAACAATTATCTGACGGCCTCAGGCGCCGAATTACAATACGGTGTATGCAAACAAACCAACTTGGTGGACATAAGACAAACGGTGGCAAAACCGACACCGGCCACCACACCCGCCATACTTTTCCGGCGATCCAACCTCACCGCCCTTTTAAACATACTCAAAAAACACGGTATCAAACCGCCACACGCAAACACCATCAAATGGTCCAAACCGCTATAATCAATCCCCACAAGTATCGCACCAATCGCCGAAACCGGGCCCACAATTCCAATCAACCCGGACCCCGCCAACGCCCCGTACCAACTATCGGTCGCTCCAAATATACAACTCGCAACCGCCGCCCCGCGGGTCAACCCGTGGAGGCAAACGGGGAGGAGCATGTGGCGGCCGAACCCGTACGCTTTCGGTGCCGCCACACCTAACACGAGCCCTTCCGCTAGGGCGTGGAGGGCGATGGTTAGACATGAGAGGATTGATTGGAGGGTGGTTGGGGAGATGGTGAAGGTGGTGGAATAACGGGAATCCGGTAAGGTGTTGGCGGAGGTTTTTTTACGGGCGGCGAGTTTGGTGGTGGCGGTGGTGGTGATGTGTGTGAAGGTGGCGCCGGTGGTTAGGAGGAAAGCGAGGGTGAAGAAGTTGAGTTTGGAGGTGAAGAGGAGTTGGAGGGGCCGCCAGGTGGCAAGGAGGAAGGCGATGCCGGAGGATATTCCGGTGAGGAGGGTGTGGTGGAGGTGGAAGGCGAGGGCGAAGGCCACCAAGATGTTGCCGCCTAGTAATGGGCCCAGACCAAAAAGTAAGGAGACAAGGAAGCCGGATGCGCCTTCTGAACTACATTTAAGAAAATTTTGTTAAAAAATAAATAAATAAATTGAAGAAATAAAATAACAACATAGTTTTTTTTTTTTTTTTAAATTGAGCTCAAAATAATTCAGGAAAAGTAACTTACTTGTAATTGAGGCCGAAATTTTGGAACATGGCTCCAAGAGCTTCCATGGAGGCAACTGAAAGAGTGGCTGCTGATGCGACATGAGATGGAGATGCTTCCTATAAAAGTTGGACAGAAAGAAACCGTTGAAATATTTTTCATTAAGAATCTTGTGGAATTGGAATTTGAGATTCCATTCCATGGTAGGGTGGAAGGGATCCAATTCCATTCTTCCGTTTACCTTAAATGCATCTGGAAGAACCTCAGCAACAACCATCCAGATCATACACCCTGCTGCAAACCCCGTACAAAATGGCAACATTTTATTGAAGGCATCAGCACATATAAACGAAGGTACTGCTACAATAGGCTGTAGAAATAAAAAAATATATATAGTCAACATAAAATATCAAAGATCAAAGCTTTCAATTATTTAAACAAACGGGTATTACTATTAGTATTATACCTGGGGCAAAGATGTAATTACACTCCATAACATAGCATTTTGTGGAGAGACTCCTCTTGATGCAAGAACCATACTAACAGCTAACCCTTCTGGAATATTATGAACAGCAATAGCCAAAGTTACCAAAAGACCCTGAGAAAGACCTTTTGATCCAGCAAAAGATACTCCAACTCCAGAACCTTCCCCAAAAGAATGAAGAGTCATGATCCCAATTACAAGAATAACCTTATTTGCATCTGCTCCTTTTATGTCCAACATACTCACTTCACCATAATGCTCAAGAAACTATAAAAGTAAAAAAATATAAAAATGTAATACTACCCACAAAAGATAAGTTTTAAATGAGGTTATAGATTCAGTAAATATAAATAATACCTGCTTACATAGCCAGATAAAGATGCCACCTGTCAAAATACCCATGACAACCCAACTACCACTACCATGATCTCTTCCTTCTTGTATCAAATCAAAACTTGCTGCTAACATAACTCCTGCAGCCATTCCATTACATATTCCTGCCCATTGAGCATCAAGTTCAACAAAGAAAAATGGCAAAGCACCCAAACCAGTAGCAGCAGCCATGGCTAATGTAAACAAAGCAACAGTAGTCACTGAAACCCTGTTGTTTGAGTTTGAGTTTGAGTTTGAGTTTCCACTCTTTTTTCCATCAACTTCATCGTTAATGGTGTTAAAGACTTCACCTAAGTTGTTTCCATCTATAACACTTCCTATTGTGTCCTTCAATGGAGCAGTTATTAGCCTCTCTGTAGTAGTCTTGTTTTCTGAATCTGATGTAGCAGAAGTAGTATATAGAACTAGTGAAAAGAGAAAGAATATGAAGATTTGTTTATGTATTGAACCCATTGTGTTGCTCCTAATTCCTATACACAACCTAATCTATCTTGATTTCAACATAAAATCTCCATGGTGCACTTCTTATCAACACTTCTATACCAATTTTACCCTAATCACTGGGAGAAATGACTTTGAGAACTGTTTGTTAATGGAATATAGTGAATCAATCCTTCAGTTAAAACCACATCAAGCAAGTTCAGCTAAAGCAGACTTCAGGTTTTTTGATTATAAACATGAATCTGCATCAGCCTTCTTGGACACTTGAGCTTGTTAGTGTCTCACCTGAAATTTCAAGAAAAAAGACGATAAAATTGGGAATATTATTATAAATCTGCACCTTATGTGGGTCATCTCAAAACGGAAACTAAAAACATTGAGCATCATCAATTTCAGAAGTCATGGGATGAATATATTTTGGAATTCTGAATTTAACCTAGCTAATTCATGACGAAGTACTACGCAATTTCAGAATTCATATCATCTGAGCAGCTAAGACTGTTACCTTGAATTCTGTACTAAATCATAAAAGCAATTCTCAAGCAGAATTCTACAAAATTTTAGTTGGATCAACGGATCAAGAGCATTGTCTTCGTTTGAATTGAAATTTTATTCTCTCACTGATTCTAGTAGACATAATTAAATATTTCTTAATTTCTTAACCTTTATTGTATCACAGATTACAACCCAAATTGATCACCCAGTTTAAAACAAAAAAAGGGGGGATCAAAATTGTAACTCGAATCTCCAAGCTTTACAGCCAAGAAGCACAGCAATGAAGCATCCATTATCGAAACGTATTCAATTTCGGACTCCAAAAATATTTACTATAAAAAATTCAATTGATCTATGAGAAGAATGATCTGAAGAAAAAAAAAACCCTAAGACCCAAAAACGTAAACCTGAGAGTATAAAAAATCAAGGATCGAACCTGCTAATCGAAGAAATCAGCCGTCATGGACAGTTATTACGGCTTCAAAAATCCCGAATGCGTAGATAGAGAGACGACTTTAATTACCCACGGATGACGGAATGGCAGATTCTGCCATGAGAGACAAAAACCGCGGTTGTGACGACGAATTCCGCGGTTGAACCCCCTGTTTTCTTATCTATTTTCACTTTCAGTCCCTATACTATTTTATTAGTTACATCCGCGTCTCGATTTTTCTATAGGGTAAGTTACTTTTTATACCTTCACGCGTTAATTCAAAAATAAAATTCACAAAACTTAAAAAATGAAAACCTAGACAATATCATAACAAATCAACAAATATAATTCTAATCATGATTGAAAGCAAGCTATAATATTTAGAAAAATCAAACCCAAAACCCAACTTATATAAACTTCAAACTCATTTTGTCCTAGAAGTCCTTTACAATAACAAAGATTTATTAATTACAATATCCTTGTACGCAAACTTGCAATGCAAGCAACGATACACAACAAATGAAAGTACGGTTTTTAAAGGATGTTTGGGATTGTTTATCTAAATTAGCTTCACTTGATAAGTTAATTTGAATGTTTTGATTACACAAAATATAGTTTGTTATTATGGTTTTTTGTGTTAAGGTGTCCTTAATAACCATTTTGATTGTTCGGAATGAAAAAAATAACTTGTTAATAAACAACTTATAAAATTATTACTTTTTGGTACAATATAAGCTAATTTAAATATTTCTTAAACTATGTTTGGTACTTAACAAGCTTATAACGCAATTTCAAAAACCCTCAAAATATTTTTGGTTTCATCATGATAACATGTGGAGACTACTAATGAATCTCGCCAAACTATGATTGTTATTATAAAATTCGATGTTCAAACATTACTTCAAACACCAATTTCTCCCAATGGTTAAGCTCGAGATGTAGAACCATATGCCTTTTGAATTAACCTTTGACCTAATCGCATGCATTGTCGTTAACTCATGGTCTATTGATGTTACATCAACCTTTACTAGTCTCCTGGTGTATGTCAATAAATCAAGGATAGTATTTAAAGACAAAACTATATATGTTATGAGCATTAGTGGGTTGGCTTCAGTGATACTATTCAATGCCTTAGTGTAGCAACCCTCGTTAGGGTCTATTTGAAAACATGTTTAAAAACATTTTGGCCTTGTTTGATATACCTCTTACTGAGTCTAGTAAGAGGTTAAGTCCGACCCAGTCCAAATAAATGTGTTTGATACCCTTGCATAATGTTGTTGGGTTATGAGAGTCCTTAGACAACGAAATGGACAAAGGGAGAAACATAAATAATCATAACCATTAAAGGACCCATGTTCACCAAATTTAGGCAACTAGTACATAAATTAAATCAAGAGGGATCGAACATATGCACTTGGATTCTTTGACTTCTTTCATTTCACCGGTTGATCGTACTTGATGATCCAACGTAGAATCTCTCTTTTATGATCACATCCAAGAAGAAAACAGCAGCCAAGAAAACACCCCAAGTAGCAGTACACCAAAAATCAGTAAGATTTGAATATGGATCGACTCTACGCGGCGCGTGGACGTCTATTACGGGTTTTTTCTAGATCTTTGAGAGCACCACCGAATTCTCTAGGGTTTTGGTTGATTTCCGGAATCTCCTAGTTTCATTTAATTAATTAAACTATTAGTTAATTAAGAAACGAGTCCCAATAATTTATTTCTTTTTCAATTATACTCATATTTGTTTTTACGTGTAACCCAAAAGGACACTCCTATTTATAGTAATACTACTAATTTGTTGTGGCTATGTGTACCATTCTTCAACAACTCCTACTTACACTAGGCACCAACAATAGTTTGGTCTATTACTTACTATTAATAGATGACGAGTATGTAGTCCAATTACATCTACTATTGTCACACCCCGGGCCCCGGTCGGCGGCGGAAACGTCGGGCTGTGAGACGTTCGAAGTTGGATCACATGTATTGAACATGCATTGTACAATACAAAACAATATATAACATGAATATCACTTCCATTATGAATTAAATATTACATCGAAAAATGTTTTGAAGTACTAGAATTTCTAATACAATTATTGCCTTAACATTTAGATATAACAATATATGATACGAATAACAGCTTTCAGTAGTTCTATTGTTCACTCGCTACTTCAGGGGGTGCAAACTTCCATCTCTTGGTTTCCTAGGAATACATGTAGTGGCCGTTGGGCACCCAGTGGAGGGCACGTGGTGCTTGTTAACCAAAAGTTGGCTTTTCGACTTTTTAACTAAGTTTGACCCAATGTCACACTATATGGTTTTAGGTCATAGACTGAAGTTTGACATTTTATTTAATGTCTAGGTGGTTTGTGAGACCTAACTTTACATTTCTCGCATGCTGTTGCGATTATCCTGTTTATGCGATGTGAGTTTTCTCACTATACTATGTAGGATATCAGGTGTCAATGTCTTGTAACATCCCAAAAACCAACCATAAAAATTTGAAAATCAAAGTGTAATTTACTAAAAAGGGGTTGCGTCCATATCATCATAGTATCACAAAATCATTGTCAAAAGAAGCTAAATTCTTATTTTGAAATCAAAGTCATAAAAGATAAACATAGATTAGATGCCAACCCCCCGAGAATGTTCATATATCTCAATCAAAGCTGGCACCTTGCCCTTCGAACCTGAAGGTTCTGGAACTAAAAAATCATCATGGCTCGTGTTGTCCCCATTGTTAGAGAAAGTAGTAACCCGCCAACATGTATAATCAAGTTAATTACAATGAAGTACACAACATATGCAGATTTTGTGTTTACGAACTAGAAAAATACAATAACTGGCAAAATACCCCTTCCCCCACCCGACCCCCACTTATAGAGTTGTTCATGATTTATAAATCTGTCACACATTTTTAATTTACCTAAGATTAACATATATGCATTGAGCCAAATCAACTTGTTTTATATAGTATTTAATGACTTGTTTTCAAAATCACAATAACTAGTTATTATTATAAATGATTTTTCACTATTGTAGTTGATGGTATATGGTCCATTAGCATGGCCTGGACAGCTCTGGCGCGCCATCCTCGCCTGGTGCTCCCTTGCCAGCCTTGCTGGGGACTCCCTTGCCAGCCTTGCTGGGGACTCTCCTATTGGCTCGGCCTAGGGACTCCCTTGCTAGCTTTGCTGTGGACTCTCCTGCTGGCCCGACCTGGCGCTTCCTTGCCAGCCTTTCCTAGTGCGCACCCGCCAGCCTTGCCTGGTGCGCGCCTGCCAGCCTTGCCCAGCTCCTCCGGGTGGCCTCGCCCAGCTCCTTGCTAGTTGGGCCTGAATTGGGCTGGCCCAAAGCCTGACCTAATTACCCTTGACCTAATTGTCCCCTATAAAGTGAACAATATCTCCTCCATGGAGAGGACTCTTCCCCAAATGGCTCAGCCGCCACTAAACCTCTCCCCATGGCTCAGCCGCCACACTATACACCGGCCGGGTGGCCCAACCGCCACCGTCAGCCACCAGACACCACCACCAGCACCAAGATGGTTCTCTCCAGGTAAAGAGAACCATCTCAGATCTACCAGATGATCTAACTTGACCGTCGGAGCCCGCCCTCGGGGCACAGTCCCTGGGACGGCTCTAACGGTCTTGTCTGTTGTGACCTCACAGATCTGTCTCCGGCGTAGAAGCACATCCTTAGAGCAGGTGGTCGGAGCCGAAGTCACATCATTTGGCGTCATCCCGGACTTGAACGAGTAGCCATCTCGTTCTTGCCTAGATCTGTTCAGATCTGTTGCGTTTCAGCTCAGGTATGCTCAGATCCGTTAATGTTTGCCATCATTTGTCTAGATCCGCTTGGCTCTTGCCAAGAGCTGTTCAGATCTGATTAGCTATCTTTTGATCTTAACGTTTTTGTTCAGATCTGTAGATCTACCTCGTTTTTAGCTCATGTCTTTAGATCTGAACGTTTTTTGCTCACTTAGTCATCTCTCAAGCTTAAAAACACCCACTCAGACCTATTTTTACTTATATTTTCGTGGAGACAAGAGGTCCTTTCGAGCCTTTATCAATCTTTGTTCATATTTTGGTGTTTTATCCAAGCAACTTGAGAGGAGAAAATAAATTTTGTGACTTTTTTACCTTATTTTCAGTTTATGTTACAAAGAAATCACCTTCAATTTATGATTTTCTTTGCAAAGCCCCTCTGAAGTTGTCTATTTAGTGTTTTCTCTAAAAGCTTGGAGATAGAAAATGAAAATTTTTCCAGATCTATTTCTTGCTCATATCTTCATAGCTTGTTGAGCAAGCTAAAAAGAAAATGAAGTTGCTTATTTAGTTGTCTATTTAGTGTTTTCTTACCCCACCTTTGTTCATCTTTTTGGTGTTTCTTTTTAGAAGTTTAGAAAAGAAAAAAGAAAATTTCTTCAGATCTGTTTCTTTGTTTATGTTTTGATGCTTGTTGAGCAAGCTGAAAAGAAAAGAAAGTTTTATGAGGAGGAAACGTCACCAGATCCCATTTTTGTTCATATCTTGGGGTTTTTTCTAGCAAGTTTGAAAAGAAAATAATTTTTTTTGTTTATTTGGTGTTTTTTTATTTATTTAGAAGTTTGGAAAAAGAAAAGAAGTTTCATGGATTTTACCTTACTTCAGCTCATTTTGATAATTTATTTTGGCTGACAATTCCCTATGAGCAAGACTCTCTCACATCTATTTTGTTTATATTTGGAGTTTGTTCAGAAAGTATGGGAAAGAAAGAAATCTCTATGAGATTTTACTTTTTACTTTCACAAATTACCATGTTCTTAAAACATTTTGTTTGTAAACAATGCTATATTGTTTGTACATACCATAAAAACTTCAAGAAAATTATCAATGAGTTTTACCAAAACACCAAAATAAATAGATACATCTTTACACATTTACCGCAAAAATTTACCATAGTAAATACTACGGTTTACTGTTTCAAAAAAAAAAACAAAAATTTTTACAAAAAGAAATCCTTCTCAAATACTTTTTTTTGTGTATATTCTGGTGTTTTTCAGTAAGTTTTAGAAGAAAAGAAAATTTTTGTTGAATGCTTGGTGTTCTTTAGAAGTTTGAAAAAAAGAAAAGAAGCTTTTATGGGTT